TCAATTTACATATTACACAGAATTGTTTACAGTGCCTGCTTTTACATTCCCTCAGAAACATCTATAAGTAGGTAGTTCATATGAGGCAGCCACTCATCACCATTACTACGTGATTTAGAAACATATGGTGTAGCTCTGCCATGCCAGCTTCTAGGTATTCACTCTAGCATTCTGACAAAAAAGAGAAAGAAAAAGCTCAGAACTGTTTCTCAAATTATCATTTCTCATCTGTTAAAACATACATCGTGACAACCTGATGACTAGGTTTCTGTTGTGGTCGTAAACTATCATTACCAACATGCTATATTTAGATTTATGGTAGTACAAGGCAAGTATACCTACAAATGATAACATATTGAAATTCAGCAGGACCCTGTGCAGTTTCTGGGTATAAATCCTTTCTGTGTTCACCCGTTTCTTTCTTGTAGGAAATAGACTTTATGTAACCTCCAGGACCTCCCCTGTGTTCCAAAGAGCAGGTTCAAACCCGCGCTAATCAGAAAAGGGAGCGGATGCAGAGACAAGGGAGCTGCAGTCAAGAAATGATGGAGCCTTGCTTGGGTCACAGGTACTGGTCCCTCCTCAAGGAATGTATCGATAGCATGGCTCAGTGGTGAAGAATCCACTTGCCAATGAAGGAGACGTGGGTTCGACTCCGCATCCGAGAAGATCCCCTGGAGAAGGAAACGGCAACCCACTCCAGTATTCTTGCCTGGGAAATCCCGTGAACAGAGGAGCCTGGTGGGCTATACTCCATAGGGTCTCAAAGAGTCAGACACAACTGAACACATACGCAGGCAACACTATCTTTGAGCTCTTTTGGAGAACTAAAGCCCCCACCCGGGGGGGAACGGCAACTTCAGGCTGAGGCAAGATTCCCAGAGCACCACCCTGTTAACTTGTCACCAACCAATCAGAGGAAAGGCACACAGTCTGCAGCCTTCACCCTAAATTCTGCCTAAAAACCTTTTCCAAAGCCACCGGTGAGTTCAGGGGTTTTGAGCTCGAGCCACTGGTTCTCCTTGGTTGGCCCTGCAATAAACCTTTCTCTGCTCCAAACTCTGACATTTGATTTATTTGACTTCACTGTACATCAGGCACATGATCTTATTTGCTAACAATATTTTCACATAGTTTGTTTCAAATCCCTTCTTTTAACTGGGAAGATTTTTTGAAAACCTAGGCATTCTCTTTCCCAGTAAAAGTGAAGCCTAAGTAATTAACTATCAGAATGGTCCAGCAATGGCATCTTTTCCCTCTGTTCTTTCTCAATTGTTCTTTTGGGCTAATTTTTTTTTTTCAGCTCAAAGTTTATAGAAAGACTAACAACAGTCTGCTGCTCAGATTTACCAGCTAATAGCCGTCTCTCTCCTTCATGAGTGAAAGTCACTCAGTCATGCCCAACTCTTTGTGATCCCATAGACTGTAGCCTGCCAGACTCCTCTGTCCATGGGATTCTCCAAGCAAGAATACTGGAGTGGGTAGCAGTTCCCTTCTCCAGGTGATCTTCCCAACCCAGGGATCGAACTAGGGTCTCCTACATTGCAGATGGCTTTTTTACCAGCTGAGCTACCAGGGAAGCCCTTTCTCTCCTTCATACTCTTTATGAAATTAGTTCTTAAAGGATTATTTTCCCCATGTTGATTTTTTTGGTTAGGTGTTCAAAGTGGAAGGGGCAGGCCTCTCTCAACTTAAATAGAAATAATCCTGAGTCAAGAAGTACACTAGACATGTTGTCAGGATGCTAGCCTTCTATTTTTCATTTAGAATACTTCTGGCCAGTGTTGCATATTAAAAAGATAGGATTTGAAATCAGAGAACCCCATGCCTAAATTCCCACTCTCTCATCTGTCTATATAGCGCTTTACACAAATTAGAAAAGCCTCATTGAGTCTCAGTTTTCTTTTCTAAAGATGGGGATGGTAATCATTACTGCTAACTAAAATCTCTCATTTATTTAAATGTCCTTAGTTTTTACCTAACTTCCTATTTCTGTTCTTAGATCATTTTCTGTTCATAATTCCTACATTGTTAATTATTAGAAGAATATAAAATGATCTAAGGATGGAAATAGGAAGTTAAGTAAAAACTAAGGACATTTAAATAAATAACAGATTTTAGTAAAAAATGTATAGCTAGTGGTTCTTTAATTGTACTACAAGTAGCCATACTACTATAAGATAATTATAGAGGAAAACTGTCTGGGTTGTATGGGAACTCTATACTATTTTCTCAACTTGTCAGTAAATCTAAGACTCTCCTTAAAAGAAGTCCACTTTTAAAAAATGACTTAAAGTAAGTGCCCTGCACTCAATAAGTACTTAAAAAACAGTAGCCAATGTTACTATTATCAAGTAAACTATTTGGTTTCCTGAAGTTTATGAAACTCTATATAATATGGTCTTCCTCCACCCCAACTTTATTGAGATATAATTGACACACAACACTGTGTAACTTTAAGGTATACAGCACAATGATTTGACAGTATGATCTTTCCTTTTCCTCAATTTAGCAATTACTTTTCATAAGCAGTTCTCTCTGCCCCAGCCATTATCACTCTATTCCCTTTCTCTACATCATTTTTCCTGTTTTTCTAGTTCATCCATTTCTATTCTACAATCTTATGTTTACTTTACAACTAGTTTTTATTTCCCCAAGATGAATTCAATCTTATTTCTTGGCTTTAAATTTTGCCACCATGATTATGCAAACTTTTACTTTCAATGACTGCTCTTTAAAAAATAAAAATCAAAGTTCAAGCTTTCTACTTAGAGAAAAATAGCAGAACAGTTTTTTTTCCAAAAAGGCACCAAACACAAAGATATAGTAATGGGGAAAGCATGTTTTGGTTTTTTTTTGTAATAAAGAGATAGATATTCAATGTACCAATATAGACAGCAGCCCAGAGGCAGCTTTGCCGGGATATGTATTTAGTCTGCTGCAACAACTAAGAATAGTTTGACCAAATGCCAGTGTTATCAATCTGTCCTGGCGTCCTTCTGATATTAAAGTCATGTGTAAAAACACACCTCACTTGTCCCTCAACCAGAGCTTTGAATGGATCTGGGTAAAACATACCAGATCAGATCAGAAAAACCAGCCTCGTGACGCTCTTTCTCAGGTGGCTGAAGCTTCTGTTTAGAAGACCTGGGTCTTTATGAGAATGGATTTCTTTTCCCACTCTGCTACTGGATTTCAGCCTGTATTTGAAGGACAGAGCTAGAGACCCTTTTGACTGATAAAGGGAAGTTTGTTTCTTAACTTTTCTTTAAGTGACAACAGCTTTTCATTGACAAAGGAACAGGACATCTTTAATGGGTGCCATTATTAAAGGGAGAGATTTTGGAGATGGAATTTCCCCTGCTATAAAGACACAATTACCGAAATAATTTCGACCTGAAGCTTGAAATACCAGGCCCTGTGAACCCAAGCCTCAACCTTAAAAGACTATCCAAAAACTTTTATGGTTCTGAAAATACTTTTGCTCTAGGATAGTTCAAAATACACATGGAAAAAGCAAGGAATCACTGATGAGGGGGTGGGGCATTAAGCAAGGAGTGTGTAGCCCACCTGTTCTTTCTCAACCAGGAAATGAATTTTATCTTTAATAAAACTGATAACCAAGCTTGTGATAGCTGAAATAAATCATCACTTCTGGGTGGTTTGTGTACATATACATGCAAAACAAACAGAGAAATCTGTGCTAACTCAAGATAAGGCTGGATAAATATAGGAAAACCTAACACTCTACTCCAGGCAACATATAAATCAGTCTTAAATGGCAACAACCCAGAAATCCTCTATTTTAAGAAACTGGTCTCAGTAAACTCTGAGAGGGTTCGAGCTGGCTTTAAACGCCTCTCACACAGCCCCTTTGCGGGCTTCACTGACTTCTGTTAGTTCAGCTATGGCAGACTCATCTAAAAGACAGAATGAGATGCTAACTTGCTTCACACTCACTCCAGCTGAGTACCTGACTCTTCTGGTCCACTACCCTCGACCTGCATTAACTAACCCCTCCTTTCTCTGGTTGGAGAACAGCTGATAGAATTAGGCACTTTTTTCACATCAAAGGCAGCCCGGAACCGCCTTAGCCTTACCCCAACCTCAGACACAAAAAGCTTTTTGATGCTTATAATCGCAAGGCTTTTTCCAGCAGCACTTTATCAAGCTAGTAGTGGCAGGGCTTGGAGGGCCTAGGAGAACCAGAAGGTGGCGGCGAAGTCACCTTGGGAAAAGAAGGGGGTCAAAGGGAGAAAGACAGAGGGGGCTGACCCAGGGAGAAGGAGCAGGTGCGCCTGCCCCTGCTCTGGGGTGAGTGAGCAAGGGCAAGGGAGATGGGAAGGAAACCCGGCCAGAGTGAAGCGGTGTCCCAAGGACCCCCAAGTCGACCCTAATCTGTGATCATCTGACCCGGGTGGAGGGAGGAGGGTGCCCTTCGCAGTGTCACGGAAAGCTTCGCCTTCTGGGCTCGCTTTCTCCCTCCTGCCCCTGCGGTGTCTCTGCCGTGGTCAGCCTGAGCGCGGCTCGGAGGCGCTCTACTTGCTCGGTACCGGAGCCCCCACCTACCGGGCGCCCCTGCCCTCCCAGCGCACGCCCAGGAGGGCGGGCCGGGAGTTGAGCGCAGCCGCCGGCCGCTCGAGAGTGCTGGGAGCCCTGCAAGCGAGCCAGGCCTCTCTGGGCGCCGCCGGCTGCAAGTCACTCTCCGAACCTCCCGGGCCACAAAGCAGAACTTGCCCGCCTCGCTCCCCAGCAGGGAGGCCCAGGCACAGGGTGTGCGCTCCAGGCCCTTTGCTGGTCCTGGGCCGCTCCTGGTGCGCCCCGGGCTGGGCTAGGCGAGGCCCGGCGGCGGAGAGGGGGGCCTTGTAACCCCTTCCCCGGGGCGCGGTCTCCTCCTCCTCCAGCTCCTCCTCGCCAGCTGCGCCGCCAGCTCCCATTGTTCGCCCCGCCCGCCTGGCAACGTCCGGGCGCTACTCGCAGGGCCTCCCAGGCGCACCTACCTTCTGCTGCCGGCGAGCCATGTCGGTGGGCTGCTTGGCGTTGAAGGGGTAGGCGATGCAGCGCATCACGAACACGTAGAGCTGCAACCTCTTCTTCCTCTCCTCCTCTTCCTTCTGCAGCCGCTCCAACTCCTCCTTCTCCTTCTCGCTCACCACCGACGGGCTAGGGCTGGAGGGTCGGCCGCCACCGGCGCGGCTGCTCGGCTGCAGCCCCCCGGCCCCGCCGCCGCCGCTCGTGCCGCCGCCCCCCAGCCCTGCGCCGCCGCCCGAGCCCTCGCTCGTGCGGCTGGGAGACAGGCGCGCGCCGGACGCGGCCGAGCCCAGCACCTCCTTGCCGCTCTCCTCCTCCACGATCTCATCCGATTCCTCTTCGCTGGATGAAGGGTCCAGCATGGTGGCGCCTGGGGAGGGGGGTCCCTGGAGCCCCTGGCTTGGGGTGCAAAAGGTGGGGGGCGCTGGAGGCAGCTGGGGGTCGGCTCTCCCGGCTGGCCGCTTCTCCCCAAATCAGGGAGCAAGCGCGCTGCTGCTCAGCCTCAGCGACTGCTTCCTCCGCTCGGCGTTCGGGAGCTGGGCTCTGACCCAGGAGCACGAGGGGAGGAGGGGAGGGGAGAGGCGCGTCCGTGGACCCAAAGTGGGCAAAGGAGGGAGTCAATTGCGAGCCCCGAGCCCAGAGCAGGATGCCATCTGCAGCCGCTGAAGGAGGCGCCTCCAGAAAAGATGCCGAGTGTTGCAAGCTGTCGATGCAGCCTAGAGCCGGAGAGGCATCTTGCCGATTGGGGAGGGAGCGGCGCTTACGTGTTTATTGGCTTAACTCTCCCGTGTCCGCAGCATAAAGGGCGGCTGCAGCGGGCTGGAGCCGGAAGACCGCGGAGCGTCCCCAAAGTCTCAGAGCTTCCGTAGTGACCCCAATGCTTTCTCGTCCTCCTCACTCCCACCCCGCGGTGGCTAATTTCCCCCTTGATGCCCAGCCCTCCTGGTTTCAACCCCTCTCCCCGTCCCGCGAACAAAAAGTTTTTGGGAGAGGAGGAAATAGATCAATCAGTGATGACTTTTTGTCAGCTGTTGGACACTAAATTCAGAGATCTCACTGAGACGAAGTCGCCGAGATGTTATACACAAAAGAAAGGCTATTTCCTATAACCAGCTTTCCTTACACTTTCCTCACCGAACAGCCTGTTTGTCCCACCTGTGTAAACTCCAACGCCAGCGGTTTACTTTACATACACCCAACCGTGAAGAAAAGATTTTGAGCGGACTGATGTATCCACCATGCAGCTCAACTCTTTAAGTAGAACCCCCGCCCCTGCCTACTCTGCATTCTTCATTTCCAAGAATTGGTAATACTTTATGCTGAGGTGAGCCTACCATGGAAATAGAAGGGTTTCTTGTTGCTCAGCCCTTCCTCCATTCTGGCTCGCTGGAGTATCTGGGTGGAGGGTTGGGGACCCCAAAATCAGACAAGGATACTCTAATAACTGAGCGCAGCAACATCGAATGCGTTGACTGTCGCGCTGTGTTCCTTCCTGCTTCTTCCTTATCTATTAATTCAAAGCAGCAGATGGTGCCTTCCTTCCCCCGGCTCCTTTCACTTAAGCCAATAAACCCAGCGCACGGGGGAGCTGGCCAGCGTGCTGAATCTAATCAGCGACCCACAGATGGATTGAAAACAAACCAACACTCTTCACCTTTTGATCTTCGGCTATCCAGAGACCTCTCTTGGCCTTCCCTCACCCCATTTATGTAGTTTCAATGCTCTAATTACTCGTAGATATTCGTGGGAGTTATTGTTGAAGTGTACTGTGAATTTAAAGTTTGTATCACATCTGTCTTTATGTATTTTAAAATTTACCATGACTATCAATAGTGTAGGCTTTGATAGTCAAAGGAAGTTTTAGCACCGTTTCACAAAGTGAACACTGTTCTAGGTGCTTGGAGTAGGTGAAATTTTTAGAAGACATTCTCTTAAAGAGTCTATAATCCCCTTTGGAGATACAACACAAACACATGAAAAAGATTGACAGTGCTTATTTCAAGGCAACATATAAACAAATCCAAGTTAGTAAACTGCTAAAAGCTTGCTTGAATGAAGCAACGAGGAATGGAAGAGAATCATATGTTTCTGTAAAAAGAGACTTAAATTTTAAAGAAAGGAACCATATGACTGAATGGTGGAAAAGGAAGATATTATAAGTAGAAAGAGCAATTTGCAAAGCCATGGTGATAGGACAGAGGACCGAGTAAGGTACAGAGTGTAATGCAGGCAGTGTGTGGGTAGGAAATGGGAAGTGAGGAGGAAAAAAAGTTGAAATAATCATCCAACTGCCCAAATTGTGGGGGTGGGGGTGGCAGTGTCATCTTTGGGACACAAAGAAATAAATGGCTAGCTAACGAGCATGTGACTTCTGCACAGAAGGCAAGACAAAGTCATTTACTAATTAAATATTTTTAAGCAAGATAAGGCATTTGAGTATTATCACATTATGCACTGGTAGAAGCGTGACCATGAACTGTCTTTAAAACCATTTGGAATTTCTCAATCACTGTAATAAATTTTTGTAGTTTTGTATTTTTAACAATGTATTTCATTAAAACATAAACTCAGTATCTACCTTTTGTTACTCATATAAGCCTATGATTTGGCTATTAAATATGACATTGCTTAGATAAATTTAACTCTTCTCAACACACCCATGAGTGTTCAAAGGAGACCAACAGATTTTACAGGAAATACTTTTATAATTTTTTTTTCCAAAATGTACATCTTGGGACTTTTCTGGTGGTTCAGTGGTTAAGACTGCACTTCCACTGCAGAGGACGTCACAAAGTACATCCTTTCAAAGATATTTTTTACCTTAGCTGAAAGTTAAATGTCCTTGCAGATATTATAACTTTTTTTTTCTGCTGAGGATAAGATATCCCAATCTGAACTCCTTAGGCATCTAAACTAGAAACTGTGGCTTTCCTAGATGCAAATTTTGATGAAAAAGGAAGAAAATTATCCCAGAACACATCCAAAGGATCTTACTTATTGTCTACCTTTTGTTAACATCCATATTCTTCTTTTTAAAAGTACAATTCTACCATAGATTCTGATACACATCAGTATTTATATCCTCAAACAAGCTATTTTAGGTGTTGCATGCTTGCCCCCACCTCCAGTTCTGCTTTGTAGGAAACTTGAATAACCTTAAGGTGATGGAATAAATTTTAGTCAGCCATCTGGAGACCATATCATGAAAGTAGAAGTTACAACAGTGAATTTTTTTAATCCCAGCAAAATCTAGAGGAAATGGAAATGACTGAGGCATTAAACTAGGGTTTTATCATCTGGACCTTGATTATTTCTAGACCTCATTCTCCACTGAAGTGTTCATTATGATTGCATAAAAAGTCACAAGTATGAAAGAATAGCTGACTCATTGACAATCAACAGATACCTTGGTGAAAAACCATCACTTCTTTTTGTCACTCATATAACATGTTTCAATCAAATAAGCCTGAGTTCAATGCCCATCTTAATGATTTTCTGTGTTTGTTACTAGAGGATAGTTTGGCCAAATTAAATATATATTTTTAAAATCTCACAATAAATTTCATCCATCCAATAATCTCATCCAATCAATATATATATTTTTAAATTTAAGAACAGACATAAACACCAAAAAGGATAAATTTGAACCTTATGGTATGCCTAAATTCAAGTTAAGTGCTTGGGATCTGGACCCAGGCAGTTCTGCCTTTGCCACTTAACAGCAGAGATACCTGAGAAAATTGTTCAGTGACTCAGACTTGGTTTTCTCATATATAAAATGAGGGACAGTAGTACTAACTCACCTTAGAATGACAAAAAAATCAACTTGAATAGTATAAAAAAAAGTATTTTTCAACAGACTTTAGGTTTAAGCCTTTTTTTCCACTAAAAGGAGATGGACATTTTTCCGCTAAAAGGAAAAGGACTTCATTTTATTTATAAATGAAGTAACATTGAACATGCATAACTGAAAGGAAAAACAACACTAAAAAATCAAATAACCCAACTTTCTCACACTATATTAAAAAAATAAAGTAAAAAAGAATTAAAGACTTAATATAAATTAAACCATAAAACTCCTAGAAGAAAACATAGAGGATGTTCACTTTGACACTAACCCTAGAATACTTTGGGGGGTATGTCTCCTCAGGTAAGGGAAACAAAAGCAAAAATAAATAAATGAGAAAAACGGCATCTGACCAAAAGCTTTTGCACAGGTAAGGAAACTATGAAGAAAATGAAAAGGCCACCTACTGAATGGGAAAAGATATTTGCAAATAATATGTCTGATAATGGCTTAATATCCAAAATACATAGAGAACTCATACAACTCAACATTAAAAAAAAAAAGATTTAAAAAATGGAGAGGGGGGTTCCTTGATGGCTCAGTAGTAAAGAATCTGCCTGCCAATGCAGGAGACATGACTTTGATGCCTGGGTCAGGAAGATCCCACATATCAGGGAACAATTAAGCCTGTGCATCACAACACTTGAGCCTGTGCTCTAGAGCCGAAAAGCACAACTACTGAAGTCGGAGAGCCCTAGACCCAATCTCTGCAACAAGAAACTGCCACAATGCAAAGCCTGGACACAGCAATGAAGAGCAGCCCCTGCTCACTGCAACTAGAGAAAATCCTGTGCTGCAAAGAAGAACCAGTACAGCCAAATAAATAAATATCATTTTAAAAATAGGCAGAGAACCTGAAAAGATATTTTTCCAAAGAGGACATACAGATGGCCAAGAGGCACATGAAAAAATGCTCAACATCACTAATTTTCAGAGAAATGCACATCAAAACCACTGTGTCAAACCTATCAGAATGGCTAGTATCAAAAAGGCAACAAATAACAAGGGTTGGCAAAGATGTGGAGAAAAGGGAACACCTGTGCACTGTTAGTGGAAATGTAAATTAATGCAGTCACTATGGGAAAACAGGGTGCTGCTGCTAAGTCGCTTCAGTCGTGTCTGACTCTGTGCGACTCCAGAGATGGCAGCCCACCAGGCTCCACTGTCCCTGGGATTCTCCAGGCAAGAACACCAGAGTGGGTTGCCATTGCCTTCTCTGCTAAAACAGGGTGGAAATTCTTCAAAAAATTAAAAATAGAACTACCATATCATCTAGTTATTTAACCCCTAGGCATTTATCTGAAGAGAGCAAAAACTCTAATTCAAAAAGATATGTGTACCCCTATGTTCGTTGCAGCATTATTGACAGCAACCAAGATGAGGAAGCAACCTAAGTGCTCATTGATAGATGAATAGATAAAGGAGACTTGGTGTATATACACAGTGAAATATTACTCAGCTATAAAAAAGAATGAAATATTGACATTTGCTATAATATGGAATGGGTGAAATTAACTCAGATGACCATTATATC